CGGAAGAAGATATGCAAATTCCCACAGGAATTTGCATATCCTCTTTCGAAAATAGAACATAGTCTAGACATAGCCTAAGAAAGGGAAAATCTAGGGTGAACAATGGGAAATACTTCAGTGGATCAGTTGGCCTATGCAACAGTTTCCCCATGGATGTGCTGATGCTGGAAATGACATTTCTTAGGCTAGTTCAACATATACACAGTGGCTGTGTCTAGACTGGCAAGTTTTTCCGCAAAATCATCTGCTTTTGCGGAAAAACTTGCCAGCTGTCTACACTGGCCACTTGAATTTCCGCAAAAGCACTGATGATCTCATGTAAGATTGTCAGTGCTTCTGCGGAAATACTATGCTGTTCCCGTTTGGGCAAAAGTCTTTTTCCGAAAAACTTTTGCGCAAAAGGGCCAGTGTAGACAGCAGAGATTTGTTTTCCGCAAAAAAGCCCCGATCATGAAAATGGCGATCGGGGCTTTTTTGTGGAAAAGGGTGTCTAGATTGGCCACGGACGCTTTTCCGCAAAAAGTGCTTTTGCGGAAAAGCGTCCTGCCAATCTAGACGCGCTTTTCCGAAAACGCTTTTAACGGAAAACTTTTCCGTTAAAAGCATTTCCGGAAAATCACGCCAGTGTAGACGTAGCCAGTCAGCATACACACAGATTACACCAAAACATTTACTGACATTTCCCCTGCTTCTTGAGCTCTTAGAAGACATTTAGGGGTAAATTAGAGCTAAATAACAGCACACAACATTGCAGGGCAGGACTGGTGGCTGTAAACAAACTTGATGGGACCATGGGAAACTTGGCCACACCCATGATAAGTGGACTTCCAGTTAACTAAAATCATGCTGGACCACAGATGTTGCTGGACCAGAGAGTGCTGGATTAGAAAGGTTCATCCTGTAGTGTGGTCTGATTTGCCCTGCTACTAGTCTTGGTAATAAAACAATATTAGAGGCAACCCTGGAATATTGGGGAGAATATGTAAAATCACCTTCTGTGCAGAAGGCATCCTCAATACCAGTACACAGTATTCACTCACCATTACTTGAAAGCAAAGCAAAAGATCCTGGGTCTGATCCGTAGCTGGTATAAATCTGAAGTCTGTTGACTTCAGTGGAACTACTCACATGTATAGCTGCTGACTGAGAATATAACTCATTGGTACTCCTGGGCATTTGAATGAGAGTTCTTCAGAGTTGGGTTGTCAAAATGAAGGATTCCCTTCCTCGGAAAAAACATCTCTTGTGTTTAAATGGTGTCATCCTCCTTAAGTTCCCCAGACCCCCACCCATTCCTGACTTGGACAACCTTTGTTCAGAATGTTGAAAGCAACCTAGCAATTGAGTGAAATCCAGGATTTTTGCCACTTGGGATTACGATTTCACCCAATGGGGTCAGCACAAACCCGTACTGCAAGGCCTTGAATATATACCAGAGTTAAGTAACGGTGAGTTTGGGAATAATACACTGGGGAATTTACATGGGAAGAGGCTTCGCAGATGGATTTTGGTTCATGTTGTGCTTTGTTCTGACTTGCTGTGTTGCTGTCACGAGGTTTGCTCCATGCTGCCTTGCTCAGTTCTGAACTGACCATCTTTTGTTGAATTTGGTATTTTGCTGAATTGATGTCAGGGGAGGAACAATTCTTGAAGATGAAAATAACATTTCTGGAGCGTCTGAAAAACCTTCTCTGGGCTAAAATTCTCAAAACCACCAGAATTTTGCATGCTTCAACTTTTAGCATGCTCCACTTGAGGCTCATTAAAGGAGGCTGGTTTTGTTAGGAGGGGGTGCATAACACTTTCTGAACACAGGCCTCATTAAAGGTGTCACTTGTGCACCCCAAATCCTTAGTTGCTTGAAAATCTTGGCCTAATTGTTTAAGCCTTGCTACCTCCTTGCAAAACACACATGTATTGGGAGAGCAGAGGAGAAACAAGGAACAGAAAGGTTACACAACTGGCTCAAACTCATACAGTGAGTTAGTGGCTGCACAAATAATAAAACCCAGGAGTACTGATTCCCAGCATCTTTAGAATGACAAAGATAGTGGAGTATCAAGGAGAAATGGTGTATAAAGAAAAGGCTGGCATAGACAGGTGGATGACAGTTCCATGCCACCTCCAGATAACCCCGAGTAGTCAGTGAACATCTGCCAGGGGAATATTAGGTATAAACACCATTTACATGTCACCTGCTCTTACCTGGACTCAAGCAATTACAAAAACCACCTCTGCAGCCATAAGGTAGAAGTGAATTTTATTAGCAACAAAGAACCCCCATGGGCTACAGGGAACAAATCTGCTCTTACTCTGGATGCTGCTTCAAGGTCACGGAGCCACCACTGCCAACCATGATGGCAGGATACAGTGGCTCTGTGAACGTAGTCACAAAGCGGTAGATGAGGTTCATGGTGCTGGAGACACCATAGAAAGTCAGGGAACCAGCAGCATAGTCCAAGAAGATGCCGATGGTCTTGTAATAGCTGCCCTTCACCACGGCTTGGATGTTGTTGTGCCAGACAGAGAACTTCAAGGAGTCCCACTCCAAGCACCATGAGGTGTCATTCCGACCTATCAGGTAAAAGATGCAGCTCTTCCCAGTCTTGTGCAAGTAACTATAGGTGGCTCCCAAGCAGACCCATGAGTTTGAGATCTCTATCTCCCAGTAATGGCAGCCCTCGCACAAGCTGCGGGTACACAAGACCTGTGGCCAGTGGTTGAATCCCTGGCAGGACCCGAAGAAAGACTCCAGCAGGATGCCCATGTTCAGCACAGAGTGGGTCTCCTTGAACAGCAAGAGCTCCTCATTGGCGGTGTTGCTGTCAAAGTTCAGATTGCAGTAGTCTGTCACAGGAGACAAAAGGAGATACAGACAAAGTGAATTCATTCCTGATGGGTGTGAAGAGGGAGGTCTGAAATTGCATGTCCTGCTCAGCCTATATAATATGGAGATCTTAAGAGGTCATTGAGTCCAGCCCCCTGCCCTCACAGCAAGACCAAGTACCATCCCTGACAGATTTGCCCCGATCCCTAAATGGCCCCCCTCAAAGATTGAACTCACAACCCTGAGTTCAGCAGGCCAATGCTCAAACCACTGAGCTATTCCCTCCTCCAGGAGTGCTATTCTCCACCCAGAAGGGTGTGGAACACTAGGCAGAAGGGACTGAGAGTAGCCATTCCTCCCATGGAGGGGCCAAGGGGCTGTTTCCTCTCTCCACAGAGGACTTGCCTTTAGTGGTAAGAGAAGTGGTGGTCATGTCATAGGCAGGTACTGGATTTTTTTAGTGCAAGATGTTTGGGAAAGGACTATGTTGCATATTTCTTCTCCCCTATAGTGGCATTACACCAGTGTTACTCTGACTTCAGTACACCAGCCTTTTCCCTGGTGTGAGAGACACACGGGCTGCTGCCTGTGTTCTAATCAGCGCTGAGGGCCCTCTCAGTATGTACAAACATTATACTACTGCTTGAGAAAGGGACAGGCTTCCCTTCTGCCACAGAAGTAACCTGAAATAGCTGGTAACAGATGGAGCTCCAGATCAGAGCCTGAGGGCTTATCCCATTTACTGGGAGATCTACGCTGCGGAGGGTTCGATTTAGTGGGTCTAGTAAGGACCTGCTAAATCAACTGCTGATCGTGCCCCCATTGACCCAGTACTCCATGAGGTCATGAGGAATAAGGGAAGTTGACGGGAGAGTTTCTCCTCTCCTGCAGTGAGGACGCTGCAGAAATTTGACCTAAGTTGTGTATCTTAGATTAGCTTTCTCCCCTAATGTAGACCTGGCTTTAGCTGTAAATTCAAGTGGTCTATGTAGATCATAATGTATTGTTTAATTACTTGTGCTTCTCGCCTGTATCCATCACTACTCTTACCTTATGCTTAGATTGTAAACTCCAAAGAGGTGGAACTGTTCTTTTTTGTTTGGTTCCTACAATGGGTAATACAATGGGCTGGGCCTCCTAGGTGCTATGATTATACAAATAACACCATGAACACTTTTTGTTACTCTTCTGTGTTGTGCTGTGTAGGTAAAAGTATGCACTTTGTGCAAGAAAATGTCATGTGCCCCCCAATAAAATAAAGGCACTTTTGACTCCAGAACTTTTGATGATCTATTGCTATGGTGTCCAACACACTAGCCACTAACCACATGTGGCTGTTTGCTGTAGCAGTAGCCACTATGCTATAGCATAACAACGAGAAGTCCTGTGGCACCTTATAGACTAACAGATCTATTGGAGTGTAAGCTTTCATGGGCAAAAAGACCCACTTTGTCAGCCATGCCTCTGACGAAGTGGGGTCTTTGCCCACAAAAGCTTATGCTCCAATAAATCTGTTAGTCTATAAGGTGCCACGGGACTTCTTGTTGTTTATGCAGATTCAGACTAACACGGCTACCCCTCTGATACTTATGCTATAGCAGTAGCTATGCAAATTGGCTTACAAATTGATTATAACAGGTGTAAAATTCCATAATATGAAATTTTGTAGCTAGATACCTCCAGGAACACTCTGTTCCAGATAATTTAGGAGGAATCCTCTCTACTGTGCAACTTAACTGGTGTATGGGGGACAACAATCCTTCTCCTTCCAATTCCTAGAGTGAATCACAGCAGGTCTCCCTCCTGTGACCCTTAAAAGGGGAGTGGCAGCTCTATCTGATCTCTCCACACCTTCAGCTTGCTGTTTGTTCACTGTTCTACTAGCTTAGCTTCATGTACACGAGGCTTTCAGCTTTCCATAACTTCACTCAGGGTCTAAATCTGCTCCCATCCATGTCAATGGGGATATGGTCATGTCCTTCATTAGCCTAGCTAACCCCCACTGTAAGATGTCCTGGCTCAGTTACACAGTCCATTTTTTTTCAGTCAAAACAAGACCAGTTTTCACTGAAGCACTTGGACTCTTCTCACTGAGGACTGTTGACATAGCAAAGCTCAGTTTCTATCTTGAGCAATTTGGCTGTAGAGTTGCTTCAAAAACCTGCAAAATTATTATCTTTCATAAGTATTATTTCTCCCGTTCTTTTTGAGCTTCAACAAGCCAATCTGATTTTTTGAACAAAATTGACTTTGAAGCCAAAACAATCATTTAAAAAAAAAATGATTTAGCCCGAAAAGAGGGAGTTTCAAGAAGTTCTGAATAACTATAAAAATAGGGGTGTGGAATAGATTTGGCAACTTTAACTATCATCTCTTTAAATGTCATCTCTTCCATAACAATATAAAAGTCCTATAAAACATCACTTCCCTTATCTCTCTAATCAAGAAGTTATGCATATAGGATCTGATCCTGCTCCCCCTTTGCAGCCAAATGCAAAATTGAGCTCAATTTCTCCCCTCAACCCAAGATAATCTCCACTCAGAACCTTTCATTATTTATTTTGTAGGCTAACTTTTTGCATCTCATTCAGCCAATGAAAATAATTCTAGTCAGTTTCACTCTCCAGGATAGTTCTGCAGTGTTTAGGTTACTGGGGAAACTTTAATTAAAACAAAACCCTTTTGATAATTAAGACAATTAAAATATTTCCCTTCGCTTTAGGATTTGTATTGGAAAAAAAATTGGTCCAAAACTATCTTTACTCTTGAATTCTCTTTTGTGCAACAGTTAACTTTACATCTGTAACCAATACCATTATTACTTATCACTTTTCCTCTTAATAATTTCTTTTTATTAGATATGGTACATCCAGTTCAGGATAGATAGAAAGATCAAACTCCTAGTACTAAGCAGAGATGAGTTATATGGGTTTTGTTTTGTTTTTAAAGTACTTTCTAAGGTATTTTTAAGGCAAAGCAGAAAAATCTGTCTTTAGGCCAGTTTAAGAAAACTCTTTTTGCTCTGTTCTGAATACAAAGGGCTATTTTTTATATCCATCTGAACCCAGTTTGTAATTCTGCAAGCACAGATTAGACCTATAATTAATTGCAGTTGAAAATGATAGACTAAATCCAGTTACTATATTGTGCCCCCAAATCAAATACTTAAACTGCTAAATGTTATCATTTGTGCCTTCAGTTATATGCAGTTGGAAACCCCGCCCCTGAGAACAGACAATTGTACCTTCCAAATTAGAGAGAATATTTCAGAAGCAGGCCCTCATTGCTAACATGACCTCTCATCAAAACTACACTAATAATTAAAGGAACATTGTTAGTGTTTTTTAAAAAATACCCCTGCTTATATTACACACGATTTAGATTTTTAAAATTTTATCAGTTGTAATAATCTAACTCACTTGTTATTGTACTCCTTTTGCTTTTTGCATTTCCCTCATCTTAGACTTGTCAATTTCACTTTTGTTCTGCCAGCTCCTACCTAGTCTATTTCAAGTTCAGTTTTATCCCAGAATGCATTGGCACTTGGGATTCAAGAACCACAGAACCTGTTGCCATTAGAATTTCAAAAAAAATCCATAGGAACATGGCTTTTTGTCTCGAGTTTCTGTACAACTTTTTTTTAAACCCAAAACTGAAATTGTGGGTTATACTTGACCTAATGGCATCTTCCAGGTCTAGATACCATGATATTAACAGTAAAACTACAGGTCAGGCGACCTTTGCTTTAGTCTGATATTGTTTAAACATGATGCAACTAGTAAATTGATTGGAAGGACACCAGTATATTTCCTATTTCAAGAGTCAACGGGTAAAATTGATTCCTGAGTGGTGAGGGCTAGTTTGGCTCCTGACATAGTTTAGAGCTGTCATGGCTCGTATTCCAGATGAAAAAGTCTCTATGGGTTGTAGAATAGCTGGCTCGGGGGTAGTTTGCCTGGATCCGGCCCCTGAGGCTCAGGGCTCCCCCTCTCAGCAATGGGGAGCCCGTGCTGGTGCTCCAGCCCCCTGCGATCCCCTGCAGGGTTGGAGTACACAAAATCTACTCGTCTGGGCCTCCAAAGCTCTGGAGTATGAGGAGAATGTGAATGTGAGGAGAATGCGAAGAGTGTCTTTCTCCTTCTTAGTCAGGGGCCACCTCAGTATGTTTTTTTTTTCTGCTCACTTGTGTGCGGCTCCCGACTAATTTTTCTGTGGGCCAGCGCTCCCACCCCTAACTGATTTTTCTATGGATCTGCGTCCCTTGACCCAAAAAAGGTTCTCCACACCGGCTTAGGAGCACCCCAGCACACCTGGTATCCTGGACATTCTTGCAGGCAGGATGTGGCTGCACAGAGCCAGATATTTTGACCATGTGCCTGCTAGCTAGACTCCCTACAACAGAGGGTGTTTGCAGGGTGCCTTCTTGCTGGTCTGCCAATGCATTTCTCCTAGGAACTCTGTGGAAGCAGGCACCAGGCATGGGACTGTGTTCCAGTAAGTGGTTTGGGTATGTCTACACTAGCCCCCTAGTTCGAACTAGGGAGGCTAATGTAGGCATTCGAAGTTGCAAATCAAGCCCAGGATTTAAATATCCCGCGCTTGATTTGCATCTTCCCAGCCGGTCGCCATTTTTGAAATTTACAAGTCCGGACTAACTGCCCGCGTCTATACACGGCAGGGACCTGGTATTTCGAATTAAAGCCCTAAATCAAACTACCTGTTGTCCCTCCTGCAAAGAGGTTTAACAGGTAGTTCGATTTAGGGCTTTAATTCGAAATACCGGGTCCCTGCCGTGTGTAGACATGGGCAGTTAGTCCGGACTTGTAAATTTAAAAAATGGCGACCGGCTGGGAAGATGCAAATCAAGCGCGGGATATTTAAATCCCGGGCTTGATTTGCAACTTCGAATGCCTACATTAGCCTCCCTATTTCGAAAGAAGGGGCTAGTGTAGACATACCCTTAGAGATCTTCTGTTCTCATTCAACTGAATGGCACACCATGATTTTTCCTATATCAAAAGCTTCACATGTATGAAGTTCATACACACGTGTAGCTCATCCCACTCCTATCTATCCAAACTGCCACTTGGCACTTCCATTGTGCCTTTCATCTGAAAATCCTCAAACACTTTACAAATGTTTACCAAAGAGGCCTGACAATTTCCCTACGAAGTAGATAATTTGCCAATGTGTGTAGCTGACACCAGAGCCTACGCAGTGTCACCCCAAAGAGTGGGTGTCAAGGAGAACAAAAACCCCATCTCCTGACTTCCAACCCCATACTCTTCCCACTAAACAATGCTTCCCTTTAGAGGGGAAGTGTTCTCTTTAGTATGGGCCAATCCTGCCTTTGTTTAAATACCTGCCACGGCTAGACACGTGAGTTTTGCTGTTATCAGGCCCTGAAATCACAAACTCTTTCAAGCAGGGACTTTTCATTCCTGTTTGTACAGCACCAGCATGGTGTTTGCCTTTTATAACTAACTCCACAGAGAGACCACATGTTGCCTGACAGAGTACAGCTGTGTCTGGAGTGCTGCTGCCCTGGCCCGTGTCTGCTCCCCACAACTTGTGAAGCTCTCACAACAAACAAACATTTTGCTGCATCTTTGGCTGGCCTGCCCAGTCTTGTGTCAAACTACAGCAACTTCAGCTCGCTGAGTTGCTTCCGCTGAGGACAGGCTAGCAGTTACGCTACCCCTCCCCAGAAGCCAGAAGAAGACGACTGTGGAAAAAAAGGTCAAACTTAGTACTTGACACCTACATTTCAGGAGGCTCTTCCTTTCCACATCTGCTGGTATCACCTCATAGGGTAGCATTGTTATTCCTGTAAGATGAAAGACACACCGCAGGGGTTTATGCTGCTTGGTAAGTGCAGAGGGATGTGTGAGCTTTGGATCACATAGGTGTGGGGAGGGGGGTTTCCCAAAATGAAGTGTTCTACAGATTGAAAAATGTTCTGTTAAGGCAGGGATGGGGAACCTATGGCCTGCAGGGCAGATCCAGCCCCCCGATTTGCCTTCTCTGGCTGGCAAAGCTTGGGACTTACCCCCACCTGTAGTGCAGGGAGCTGGTGCCTGGTGATCCAGCCCCACAGGGAGTCTCCAAGCCTCAGTGGTCCCCCATGTGGCTGGAGGATGAGCACTGGCTCCTTGCTGCAAGGGGAAGCAGTGGGGAACTGGTGCTAATGCCCCTGCATTGCCTTCTCTGCCTGGCAGGGGAGGAAATGGCTCTGCATGCTGCTTTTCCCCTTCCCACCTCCGGCTAGGGAAATCCAGCACATGGAAACTCTGTCCCTATGCTTGCCTGGAGCTCCACTCCTGTCACTTCTTTTGGCCAGGAATCACGGCCAATGGGAGCAGCAGGGTGGGGTGGGCTGCAAGTGCAGGGCAGCTTTCCTCCTGCACCCTACCTCCTGCCCAGACCCCGCACCTCCAACCCCCTCCTGCACCCTACCTCCTGCCCAGACCCCGCACCTCCAACCCCCTCCTGCACCCTACCTCCTGCCCAGACCCCGCACCTCCAACCCCCTCCTGCACCCTACCTCCTGCCCAGACCCCGCACCTCCAACCCCCTCCTGCACCCTACCTCCTGCCCAGACCCCGCACCTCCAACCCCCTCCTGCACCCTACCTCCTGCCCAGACCCCGCACCTCCAACCCCCTCCTGCACCCTACCTCCTGCCCAGACCCCGCACCTCCAACCCCCTCCTGCACCCTACCTCCTGCCCAGACCCCGCACCTCCAACCCCCTCCTGCACCCTACCTCCTGCCCAGACCCCGCACCTCCAACCCCCTCCTGCACCCTACCTCCTGCCCAGACCCCGCACCTCCAACCCCCTCCTGCACCCTACCTCCTGCCCAGACCCCGCACCTCCAACCCCCTCCTGCACCCTACCTCCTGCCCAGACCCCGCACCTCCAACCCCCTCCTGCACCCTACCTCCTGCCCAGACCCCGCACCTCCAACCCCCTCCTGCACCCTACCTCCTGCCCAGACCCCGCACCTCCAACCCCCTCCTGCACCCTACCTCCTGCCCAGACCCCGCACCTCCAACCCCCTCCTGCACCCTACCTCCTGCCCAGACCCCGCACCTCCAACCCGCTCCTGCACCCTACCTCCTGCCCAGACCCCGCACCTCCAACCTGCTCCTGCACCCTACCTCCTGCCCAAACCCTGCACCTCCAACTGACTCCTGCACCCTACCTCCTGCCCCG